TATTATTTCTCCATTGGTGTTCAGTCATTGTACAAGTAGAATGTGATGGTTGGTGATATTTGTCCCGCCCCTCCTCCACTGTGAATGGAAGGCTGGGTAAATGTTTTACCTACACAGCCTTAGTCCTCAAAATGGACTTTGTTCTGCACGCAACCTGTGGTAAACTTTGAGGTTAAAATGAAAAATTTGACATACAGCTGTAGGATATCAGACCGAATCAGACAATGTAAGATTTGATAAAGAACAGTTGAAATACGAGGAGCCCAAATTCCACAGAGGCCCAAGACACAGGATGTCGTAAATCAGATCCTGGCTCCACAAGCCGGAACCAACCAGCAGCTTTGAGTAGCTTACAGCATTTAAACAAAAGAACACTTATTGACAATTCCAAGGAGATTGTCAATTTTGGGGGCAAGTAATTAAGATTAATGGTCAAAAGAGATTAACGGTGTGACCATCACATGGTAACCAGTGATAGCAATAACAGTGCAATCTATGGAGGCCCATCTATCTTTCTTAACTTCCATATAGTAATCTTTCTTTCTATCTCTCTGTCTGTCTGTGAATTCATTTGTCTTTATCTATCCATCTTTTTGTCTATCTTTCGTTCCCTCCATCCACCAACCTATCCATATATATTCATCCATCTTTCTATAATCCATCCATGCATCCATTTTTCGATCCATCTTTGTCTATCCATCATCCTATCCATCCCTCTTTCTATCCATTCATCCATCTATGTATCCATCTTTCTGTCTATCCATCTTTCTATCCATTTATCCATCTATCCATCCATCTTTCTGTTTATCCATCTATCCCCTCAATATGCATTCATCATCCATCTTTCGATCCATCTTTGTCTACCCATCTCTCTTTCTATCCATTCTTTCTATTCATCCATCCATCCATCCATCCATCTTTCTATCATCCATCCATCCATCCATGCATCTATCCATCTTTTGATCCATCTTTGCCTTTCCATCATTCTAACATCCATCCATCCATCTTTCTTTCTATCCATCTTCCCTTCATCCATCCATATATACATCCGTCCGTCCATCCATCCGTCCATCTATATTTCTGTTTCCATCATTATATCTATCCTTCTTTCCTTCCATCCATCCGCCAATCCATATATCCATCCATCTTTGTTCATGCATCCATCTATCCTTCTGTCTAGCCATTTTTCATCTCCTTTCTAACTTTCTTTCTATCCATCTTCCTTTCATCTATCCATCCGTCCATCTATCTTTCCATCTTTATATCTATCCTTCTTTCCTTCCATACATCCATCTTTGTCCATGGCTTTCTTTCTATCTCTCTGTCTGTCTGTGAATTCATTTGTCTTTATCTATCCATCTTTTTGTCTATCTTTCTTTCCCTCCATCCACCAACCTATCCATATATATTCATCCATCTTTCTATAATCCATCCATGCATCCATTTTTCGATCCATCTTTGTCTATCCATCATTCTATCCATCCCTCTTTCTATCCATTCATCCATCTATGTATCCATCTTTCTGTCTATCCATCTTTCTATCCATTTATCCATCTATCCATCCATCTTTCTGTTTATCCATCTATCCCCTCAATATGCATTCATCATCCATCTTTCGATCCATCTTTGTCTACCCATCTCTCTTTCTATCCATTCTTTCTATTCATCTATCCATCCATCTTTCTATCATCCATCCATCCATCCATGCATCTATCCATCTTTTGATCCATCTTTGCCTTTCCATCATTCTAACATCCATCCATCCATCATCCATCTTTCTTTCTATCCATCTTCCCTTCATCCATCCATATATACATCCGTCCATCCATCCATCCGTCCATCTATATTTCTGTTTCCATCATTATATCTATCCTTCTTTCCTTCCATCCATCCGCCAATCCATATATCCATCCATCTTTGTTCATGCATCCATCTATCCTTCTGTCTAGCCATTTTTCATCTCCTTTCTAACTTTCTTTTATCCATCTTCCTTTCATCTATCCATCCGTCCATCTATCTTTCCATCTTTATATCTATCCTTCTTTCCTTCCATACATCCATCTTTGTCCATGCATGCATCCATCCATCCTTCTGTCTAGCCATCTTTCTATTCATCCATCCAGTCTGATATTTAGATGTATCTATATCACTGTTTTACTCAATATAGGGTACACTCCTGTCAAAAGAAGGAATATATATATATATATATCGCAGACAGGCCATTTATATTACTTGATAGGCCCCGAAGACACGTATTTCATTATCGCACAAACTGGAACATAGGCATACTTACTGTAATTATGAAAGGCAATATGTTCCCCTGGAGGTATGACTGACATTATGAGTTTAAAATACGTCCTTCTGAAGTTAACACTGAGATCACTGTTTATAGCGCAACTTTCTCATGTAGCTTTCCCTTGAGGCCACCAGAGAGGTTTATTCACAATATTATATACCCAGGGGAGATAAAAGAGGAGGCTTGAGAAGGTTTTTATGTATGTGCAGTCTGAAAGAAATCTGACATCAAAGAAGCATAAGAGCCAGAGAGCTTCTGTGGAGGGAGTGCATTTAAAACATCATAACCTGTGCTTAATGCTAGAGTTAATGCTACTTTTATGTTAATTTTAAGGTCAAAGTAGCAGCAGCGGTAGCAGCAAAGTAGTAGCAAACAAATAAAGCATACACTACTGTTCTAATGTTAATGCTGAACGCATGAAAAGCAGACCTCTGTGATGGGGCTATTTGTCAGAGAAACCAGTGGTGGAACATTGACTCAAGGACAGTCTCTTCTCCTCTTTATAATGTCACACAATTAAAGACAGCCTGAAGTTACTTCCTCACCACTTATGATGTACATTCAGTGACAGGCAATAACAAGGTCAGTGTTTTGATGAAACTTTAATGACAGCCAGTGTGCTGGGATTTGAAGACCTGAGTATTCAGTGAATAATATTCTCCATTTTGATTACCCAAGGGCCAAGACTAACTTTAACAACAGCTCTTGTGCTAGCACACCATGTGCTGGCTATGAAAGTGCACTGGGATCATTCAAGGATGACTTGAAAGAAATGGACAGAGAAAGATAAAGGCTAAAAGAACACCTTGTGAAGTATCTGAGAGCTCATTGGAGGAAAAATGTACAAGAGTGAGAGTATTCACACTTAATTTCAGGACATTTTGGCTTCATCTGTGCCTAAAAAGCACGGAAATGGGGTAATGTTGTTGCTTTTTATTTGTAAAATTGGCTTAAAATCTGACCAGGTTTAATGAGATATTCAGGGTTCAATACAAGTTTGGCTTAATCAACAGCATAGTGTTGATTACCACCACATTTTATTTCAACTTGACCGTCCTTTTCTTTAAAACAAGTATCTGGGTTACAGTGAGGCACTTACAATGCAAGTGAATGCAGCAAATCTGTAAACATTTAAAAATGGTTTCGAAGAAATACAAATATTTTCGTGTGAAAATCACTTACTAACCTTTTGTGTGTAAAGTTATATTCAATTTTACAAACTTTGTTGCCATGACAGATAACTCATAAAACCCTCACTGTAAAATAGATTGCGATTTTAACAGTAAAAGGCTGTAAAAATACCACATTAAAAAAACGGTTAATTGGTTAACAGGACGTTTCCGTACTATATACAGTGAATAAACTGCAATACAGCTAACCTTACATTTAATGTCATTTTACAGTAAAAGCACTGCTAAAATTACCGTTTATGGAAGTGAAAAAGAACAAGTCATTGTATAATATACAGTGAAAGAATTCCCTGCATGATAGTTCACATTTGATGTTTTTTCATTGAAATAACTGTTTCTACTTATCAGTTGTGTACATTAGGGTTTTATCTGACATCTAACGTTGTTAAATTGTTGTTTATTGCATTATTTTACAATCATGCATGTTCTGTTTCCATAATGGTGTTCTGTATTTGTGTGAATGACACTGTGCACCTTCTATATATTAGTATTTACCTCAGTTTGTGGAAGAGCTGTTTGTGATTATCTTTGATTCATCATGTGACTTTCTCATCACAACCTGTTTTTAGTGGTTGTTGATGTATTACAATGGTACAAAACAGATATTAGTACTCCAGTAGATTGATATATTAACATTATTCCAGTTAATGAAATGTTTGTTTTTTTGTAACGGTAATCAACACTGTGCCACAAATTCTTTCAACTGATCTTAACTTGTGATAAATCTGATGATATCCCATATTCTCATCAACCAGAAAAAGGTCATTTTTTGTTTTGTAACCTTTAGCTGATAACCAAATGACTCAATGTCTTTTATGACTAATAAAAATATAGGACCATCCTAATTTTAGAGGCCATTTAGAATGGATTAAAACAATTCTACTGAATGAGTAATCAACACTGTGCCACAAATTCTTTCAACTGATCTTAACTTGTGATAAATCTGATAATATCCCATATTCTCATCAACCAGAAAAAGGTCATTTTTTGTTTTGTAACCTTTAGCTGATAACCAAATGACTCAATGTCTTTTATGACTAATAAAAAATATAGGACCATCCTAATTTTAGAGGCCATTTAGAATGGATTAAAACAATTCTACTGAATGTGACCCTGTGAAATTAGTAAAAGTGTCAGATTTGGATTTTAAATATTATCTGTGTCACTTGGTGTTTTATGCTTATGGATCTCCAGTGTGCAGTTATGCTGTGAATTCTGCCAGCACCACACTTGATAAATGCCTTTTTACGGAGAGCACAGAAAATGATCAGCATCTGGGAAATGATCCTTGATCCAATGATCCAATGCTATTTTATCAGGGCAAACAGTGAGTACTCTTCAGTGTGCGTGCCAGAAAGGTTATTATATTCACGCATGTGACATTTGGCTTTTACATATCCCCTCCTCTCATCTAAAATGCTGATTGGACATATGTGACCACATTACGCTGTTGTCCTTGTCTGCCCCCCCAACCAACCCTCAATGGATGTAACCTGGAGGTTTAGCCAACTCACACTGTCACATTGCGGTCTGGGCAGCTGTCTCCGAAGGTGCCCCCTTGCTCCTTGAAGGTGATGAGGTTCCAAACAGCCACCACGGTGTCTTCAGGCACGTTGAAGTGGAACAGCTCCACGCTGGCAAAAGAGCGGTAGGCGTTGAGCTTGCGAGGTGTCCGGGTGAAATAGTCAGTTACAAACAGGCAATCTAGGGAATGGAACAAGGAGAGAATTATTTAGATAAAAGCTGGCAATATATGGCGATTGGCTAGAAGCTGGGTGGGAAGAGGGTTGGAGGAATCAGTCTTAATGCGGTTTGGTTGACCTTCCTTCTGAAAGCTCCACCAGTGATTTAATCACACTTGCCGTGGGTCATGCGTGCTTTGGCTTTGATTCAAAGACCCAGACTCTATGCAAAATAAATTTTGTTGCAATCCCTCAATACAAGGCCAGGGAGGAAGCAGCAAAATGACATTTGCAATCTGCCTTAATGAGCCGTGGCTTCCTATGGCTCCATTGTCAGAGAGCCTAATGGCTTCCAATCTCCTCATGATTTGTAGAGGGAAACATTTATACTCAACTGCCCAGTTCCTTCCATGATATTCATGTATTCCCTGTGTGTTCAACGCACAGGTGCAAATGCAGTTTGCTTGCCCCAGATGAATGTTGCTGTTACTAATGAGCATCTTTACTGCCCTTTTATCATGACGATAATCTATGACTGTCAAGAGCAGTCAAGATGCTCAGTAGACTTAATATTTTCTATACACTACATGGCCAAGAGTTTGCGGTCAGTAAGAATTTTTGTTCTGTTCTTTTGAACTTTCTATTCATCAAAGGATCTTAAAAAAATGTATCACAGTTTCCACAGAAATAATGTTTTTGAAATAAGTCTCTTATGCTCAACAAGGCTGCATTTAAAATTGATAAAGTACTGTAAAACAGTAATATTGTGAATTATTATTACAATTTACAAATAACTTTTTTTATTTGAATATATTTTTAAAATTGTATTTTATTTTAGTGATGGTAAAGCTGGATTTTCATTAGCCATTACCTCAGTCTTCAGTGTTACACGATTCTTAAGAAATCATTTTTAATATGCTGAATAAACATTTATCTTTTGTAACAAATGTATTTATTGTCACTTTTGATCAATTTAATGCACCTTTTCTGAATAAAAATATAAATTTCAGCCTAACCAAGATTCATTCATTTACAGCGGGCGTAATTCATTTTTAGTGAAATTTTCCCTCAGTATGCAGTAAAAATTGTCCTCCAATCAGGGAACAACATTTATCTGTTTTAGTACAACATGTTTCAACATGTTACAAAATGTTTCAGTACTAAATGATTTAGCCTGATATTACCATTGCTGTTGCAACAATTTGTAGTGGGTTTGATGATACTAAACTTGCCAAATAGTAGTGCACTCACACATATTATATTACTGATAGCATAAGTTTGTAAGTCAGGTTAGGTGACCAGTTCTTATATCTGATTCATATGAAGCTAATCTTTTTGATCCAGTATTAATACAATCCAGCTATACCAAATAGCATGCATAAACACTTATGCACTAAATCTCACTAAATAATCCTGAATAAGAAAAAAGTGATCTACTCCTACAAGCCAATGATATACAATTTTTTTTTGTTTTTTTATTGGTTTTAAATATTGGTTTTAATTTATTATTTTTTATAGTATTATTTTTGTTATTTAATTTTTTATTTTATTAATTTTCTATGAATACATGTTTGTATCAAAGAAAAGACATTACGCTTGTCTTTAATCATGTATACCTGAAGTATACTTGTAATAGTTCCACTTCAGCACAATCAAATATACTTCAGTAGATCTTGAGTTGGACTTCAGCACTACTTCTGCACAAATAAAGTGCATTAAGTACAAAACTAGTTGTTCCAATTTAGCACACCTTAAATATACCAGTTTAGTATACTAAAACTACAATTGCAGGGTATTTTTATTAAGCACATAAATATGTAAATGTATTTGTAGTATACTTAACACAAAATAAATGTATTTCAAATACATTTGAGTTTTTTTTTGTTTTTTTTCACTAGGGCCAATATGGACATTTTGGATTATACAATAACCAATACTTATTTTTTTACTTCATTACAGCCAATAATCAATATATCTGCCATTATTAGATATCAGCTACATTTTGTAAGACTAATTACCAAAAAAAAAACTCACCTTAAAGGGATCCCTAGTAAAAAAAATTAATATACTACAAATACATTTACATATTATGCACTTAATAAAAATACCCTGCAATTGTACTTTTAGTATACCAAACTCAAATATTTAAAGTCTGCTAAATTTGAACAACAAATTTTGTACTTAATGCACTTTAATTGTGTGGAAGTAGTGCTGAAGTCCAACTAAAGATATACTTAAATATATGATTGTGCTAAAGTGGAACTACTGCAAGTATACTTTAGGTACACTTTAAATATTTAAAGACCGATATTATTTAAAGATCATACAATCTTCATCAATAGTGACATTAAAACATATTTTAGGCTTAATATTAAGAAATGTACATTGTGCACAAAGTAGTACTCCAAATAAAATTTTATTAAAATTTTTATATCAGTAAGCCTTGAGCGATATATCAGTAATTATGTTAATAGACTTGTCTTGAACTATACTTAGTATAAAATAAATGCATTTTAAATCTATTACTTTTTTACTAGGGATAGTTCACCAAAAACATTTTAATTCTGTCATTAATTACTCACCCTCATGTCGTTCCAAACCCATAAGACCTTCGTTAATCTTCGGAACTCAAATTAAGATATTTCTGACCCTGCATAGAGACCCATGCAACTGAGTAAAAATGGCACAATTCCAAAGGGCATCAGCACATGTCAAAATGACAAATGTCACATGTTGAATAAGGGAGCAACCCTGGTGGGCTAACAACCCTTGCACGCACACTTACACGCACACAACTTTCAGTCTTAAAGGGCATGACAGGTCTAATAGAGGAGAAATAGGGGGAAAAATGTGTTGTACTTTGAAAGGAAGGCTACTTACACCATCTAATAACACGTCATGCCTTGTATTTCTGTTGAAAGGGTTCAATTTTCCTATTAAAAATCAGATCGTATAATATTGTGGTACTTTGAAATCCACTACCATTTAAAAGTTTGGGGTCAGTAAGACTTGTACTGATACTTTTATTTTGTTCTTTTGAACTTTCAATTCATCAAAGAATCCTGAAAAAACATCATGGTTTCCATAAAATATCAAGCAGCACAACTGCTTTCAACATTGATCATAATAAGAAATGTTTCTTGAGCACCAGTGTATTATAATCAGTATATTAGAAGGATTTCTGAAGGATCATTTGACACTGAAGACTGGAGTAATGGCTGATAAAAATTCAGCTTTGCCATCACAGGAATAGATTACATTTTATAATATATTAAAACATTATAGCTATTTAAATTTGCAAAAATATTTCACAATTTTCAATCTTTTGAACATTAGTGTACTTCAAAAAAATACTATAGTACTGCCATGGAGGCATGTCCACAAAGCATGGTAATAATAATTTCAATTTATTTACTTTCATTAATTGCACGTGTTTTTGAATGACACATTTGAATGACAGATCTATAGGACACATTTTGTTATGATATGTAGATATGTGTTGATGTGTGAACCACTTTTAGTGATATTTTTGTTCTCAGCGTCAAATGACTGATGGTGCCACAGCATAAAAAAAGAACAAAACACCTGGTCTGTTCTGCATATTGCTGTCTTCACCCTGAACACAGAGCAACAACATTTAAAAACGACTTTACAGCTATGTGCTAACGACTATTAACGCAGTAACATTTGCTTGTCTGGTAGTAAATGGATCATTACTAATGTGCTACTTATTAGCTCACCCCAAAAATAGTACAGCGCTCACTCAGAGCGTATAATTATGGCGCAGCAGTGATATAGGATAGATTGATATTTGTGGAGGCAGCTAATGTTTAGCCTTCTGACAGAGCACCCATCTGCTAAACCTAAATTAATGGGGCCTCAAAGTGCAAGTGTAATTCTTATCATTTTAAAAACTTGCAAAAACAGATTTTGTATGTTTTTTCTTCCTGCTTTTCACATTTTATGAATGCTGTAACTTCATTTTGTAGAAACAAATGCAATTTTTATTTCTTTTACAATGTACAGTAAAGCCGTTGCACTTCTGATAAGAGCTGTGTTTTCTTTATCAGTTTCAACTGATGTAAACGTAAACTTAAAAGTCCACATTTTAAATGCAAGTCTCACGTGAAAAATGGACACGGTCTTCAGAACTGACCCTGAATCTAAAGGAAGTGCCACTTTTAAAATATAATGCATCAATGGAAAAGCATTCAGACTTGGAGTAGGCTTTCAAAGAATCTGCAGAGGAACGGAAATCACATACCATGGTGCAGTGCTGACATGGACAACACTACCCCTCACATGTATTCATTCACGGTATTCAAGAAAACCCAGCTATTACCTCAGTCTGGGTGAATGTGGCCTAGTGTATGTGGGTGTGTGCTTGTTCGCTGAGGGTTGAATGGTTATCTGTATGCCCTGTGTACATAGGTACAAGTGAAGTAGTCATTAATCACAATTGTGCCACTGACTCATCCAGCCGTAACCATCCACAAACAGTATTTACTTTCAGGATGCAAAACATATGCACTATTGTATTATGTTTGAAATGCCAATAAGCCCTTGTGTAAATGAGAAAATAATGAGTGACCTTGTTTGATTTGTGTTCATACATGTTCTTGAATTAAACTGGTTAGTCTCAGGTATTGATGATGCTTCCTGCATGAGAGCTCTTCTCATCTCCTGCTATTGATCAATGTGATCATGCATTTTTTACAGTCTCCTATTGATTTGTGGAAATGGGCACAGCACACAATTTTTATCTTCAAATGAGTTAGGGCTCGTAATATTAATCTGTCGGTACAGAGCATATACCCATCATAAAAAGCAATTAGAATGGGATGTGTAATAATGCCATTTTATTTTAAGACAATTTAAAAATAATAATTATACAGTTTGTATAGTTTCTGATAAGGTTTTACGTATTAATGGATATTCTTTTTTTTCATATTTTACACTTCCTAAGAATAGTAAAGTCAAAAATGTATGAAATAACAGAAACTGAGGTTTAAATTAGTAGTG